ACAGGGCCCTTTATACACTGTAACAGGAGAAGCGATTGTTTCTGTGTCTGAGCTCAAGCATGAAATAGACTTGGTTTAAGTTATCAAGTATCAAGCAGTTTCTGGAATTTATGTTTTAAAAAAGGTGGTAAAAAATGAGATTTGTTAAAATTTCCCATTGACTATAGACAAGTTGCCCTGAGCATATCACCCAGAAGAAACCTCTCCCACTGTTGAGTGACTTGTCTTCACCTCCTTGCCTGGCATCCAACAGTTCCATGTTTGAGATCATTACTTGGTCTCTACCAAACTAAAGCAATACTATAAGAGGGAGGAAAATGGCTGTGTTTGAGGTACATAGAAAGTTAGTTTGAGAACCCCAAGAAGGGTGTTTACTTCTAGGCAAGAACTTAATGGGGATTTGAGTTGATTTATGGGAGAAACTACAGAAGTATCAGAGGTAAAGAGTATATGGATGGTGTGGTGTAGGAGAAACAACTTACATATATATCAGTGTACCAAAAAATGAAAACTCGAAAATGGGAGACATTTATTATTTATTCTTGGGTTGCCCTATTAAAATTCAACACTAAATGAAATAGGGGCCATATGTCCTTTATCATTCCATATCGCTATCTCTCAGTAACACACAGCAAGTGCTCCATACATTTGCCGAACAACTGAATAAAAAACAGGAAATATGCACAGAAATAACAGTGCCTAACAGTGCTGTTAGGAAAGAAGAAGAGCATTTCTTGTTTGTTGTCGGGAGCTTCACTTCTGTGGGAAACCAAGTCCCACAGTATGAATCCATGAGGCTGACCCTTGATCCAATGCTTGGACACACAATTCATTATGGGGGGAGGGCACATTCAAAGGGTAGAATAACGGAAGACAGAAAAATGGTAAAAATTTTTCCTTTATACATATAATTTTATTTTGCATGGTAACATAAAAATATAGTAAGAAACAGTTTAAACCACCACTTGCCAGATGTGCCTTGCTGAATATTGCAATTATACACCAGACTTAAATGTGGAACCCAGCCAGCATCTTCCAAGTACACTTCTCTCCCTTCCCTGCTCTGTTTGCACTCTTCTCCACTATTTATTTATATTTTCCATTGTGTCACCATTATCTCAGTTACATAGACTAAAAATTACCAGTCCTGCTTTACTTTTCTGTGTTCCAGTTACATCATGTACATCCTCCTTTTACTCCATATATTCTTTCATTTTCCCTGCCCTACGTGTAGGGCTCGGAACTGACTTTTAAGTCTGTAGTACTTGTATGTAGTTACTGCCTCTTCTCTCACCATCTTGTATGACAGTCACACTTAAATACATTACATTGTTACATAAAACATACTTATTCTTTTTCAGTTATCAGTGTTGGAGATTAGGATCTGATTTTTACACATTTCGCATACCACTTTGCCCATGAAAGGGACATTCAAAAATATCTATTGGGTACCTACTAATTGCCCACAGCATCTGAATCTGAGTTGCTATAACAGCAACCACAATTTCAATGTGTTCTCATTCTAGCAAAGACACATGGAAAATTAGATATAGTATTCCAATAGAAAATAAACGAATTATCTATTAGAAGACAAAAGAGAAGGGTCGAAAATCTCTATAGAAGAAGCAGGAGGGAAAGAACCAAATGTTGGTATGTAAAATAAATACAAATATGGAAAAAATAAAAAAAACTGATGACTTGGGGGATTTTAGAAGAAGACCAAGTAGCATATTGTTAAATAATAGCCAAGGTAAGAATATGCCGTTGTGGGAAAGGTTAGCAGCAATACAGAAGAGGTATCAAAGTATAAAAGGTAAGTTCATGCTTTGGGAAGAGTGGCAACAGAGTCTGCATCCACTCTGCCTCTGCAAGCAAGAAGAGGATGAGGGGAAAAAGGAGGAGAGGGAGAGGGAGAAGATTAGGCAAGGGGGGGGGAACTGAAGAAAGATGAGGAAGACAGTGATTTTATTCATTAAATTCATAGGATTTGGTGATTAATGGATTTCATGTTAGGGATGGTAAAGAATTGAAGATTCCTTTCCAGTTTTCTGGGTGAACTGGCTTTTTTTTCTTTTTCCTGGAGAAGATTAGCTAGAGGAACAGTTTTGTTAAGGTGAGGTCACCAGGTTAGTTGCAAGTGCACTGAGGGGGCACATTAAGGGCTGAGGTGCCAAACAGACAATACTTTTTATGAGCCTGGAGCTTAGGAAGGTCCAGGCTGGAGACACGAACTGAAGACTTGTGATGTTAGGTGTCTTTTAAAGATAGGGTATGGTTTGGTCTCCTGAGAAGAATGGAGGGGGTAAATGCCCCTGAGTGAAGGCTGAGGATTCTGCAACATTTGTCTTAATAGAAGAGAAGGAGCCAGGAGAGAGAGAGAGAGAGAGAGAGAGAGAGAGAGAGAGAGAGAGGAGAATTGATTTTTGTATAGCAAAGTCAAGCACCCTTATTGCTTAGGGAATGGGCTCATATGTGACTATCCTCTGAGCCCAGCAACCACCATCTTTCGTAGTTCAGATTGGCATAATGTTTATCTCTGCTGGACTTGCTGACTGTTTAAACACAGCATGGAGGAGTGGGGTGGGTCACAGACCCTACCACCTGGTATATGGATCTCTGCTTTAATTGCATTTGGCCTGGAAGGGAGGCTGGATTATATGAGCCTGAGAAGACTGAGGATGGGGCTCCATTTTTGCCTAGAAGGAATCCTTCATTTCTGCTAGGTTAAGGTTTTCCAGATGTGGCCTGTGGGAGCAGAGAACCCGTACACCAGTGAGTAACCCTCACTTGTGCTGTGTTAAAAACCTTAACTGGTTCCTGTTCTAGGTAGTTTTATGTCAACTTGACATGAGCTAGAGTCATCTGAGAGGAAGGAATCTCAGTTGATAAAATGCCTCCATAAGATTGGGCGGTAGGCAAGCAAGCCTGTGGGGCATTTATTTTTTCAATTACTGATTGATATGGGAGAGTCCAGCCCATGGTAATAGTCTTGGATATTGTAGGAAGCTGTCTGAGTGAGCCATCAGGAGCAAGCCAATAACCAAGGCCTCTGCATCAGCTCCTGCCTCCTGGTTCCTGGCCAGTTTGAGTTCCTGTTTTGGTTTCCTGTAATGGACTATGATTCAGAATATGTAAGCTAAGTAAATGCTTTCCTGCCCAGGTTGCTTTTGATCATGGTCTTTTGTCACAGCAATAGGCACCCTATCTAAGAAAGTTGTCCTGAGTAAACTTCAAAACCATGCCTGGATTTGTTGTTGGGACCTTAGAAGAAGGGGTAAACATTGTTTATATCTCCCACTCGGAGGTATTTTTAGCAAGAGGCTGTTTTCAAAGCTTAGGGAAGGAAGAAGGTTTGTCAGAATGTTTTGTAATACCTCTGGAAAAGTAGCAAATTGTAATCAGAATGGTAGAAGTGGGGTTCTGCCCATTAGCCATTCTGCAGCTATCAACCCTGACCAGAGTTTAACCACTCCTTCAGGGCTTTGTGGGTTTCAGGAGGTACCTGCTTTTTTTCTCAGCTCTCCACCTGGCTGACAGGCCCCTCCCATAAGTGTGTAGCCTCAACTCAACTATCCTTGTCTTCCAACCCTCTTCAAGTGTCCCCCAACATTCAAACTTTGTAGAACTTTTTTTCTACCACCTGGCCCAAATTTTGCAGGTTTGTGGCAGAATTCAGAGGACTGGGTGCTGTCTGCTGCATAAAATGATCTGACTCAGTGAACAGTGACAACTGCGGGTTGTGCTATTTCGTTGGCTTAACTGGCAGACAGACTCTTCTTTTTTCATGTGTCTTTTCATGAAGTAGTTGGTAAGGAGGCCCGCACCCCTCCTGCTAACAGTCATCTGCGCTTGCGGCTTGCTCCAGCATGAATCGGGACACATGTGGAGTGCACTCAGCCGAGGCTCCATCACCTGGTTCAGGTGTGCTGTGTCTTTGGCCTCCAGTGGCTCTTTGGAGGCTGAATATGACTTTGTTTTATTCTGCCTGCGTCTACATTTCTGGTGACAGGTGTGTCCTGGGGCAACTGAACGGCTCTGTGTACATGGGGGGCAGGTTATGAAGAAGTGAAGAGGAGGAGGAGCTTGCTTAGTGAAGCAAGTCACAAAATTTCCTTAGGCAGCTTGGGTTTGGGGTCAGGCTATTGCCTGACTTGCTCATGCATACTCTACTTAAGAGGAAGTGTGGAGAGGAAGGAAGCCGGTACAAGAGGGAGCTTTGAAGAGACTAGCCATAATGCCGTTGTCACTAAAATGCTCCCTAGGCGCCTCCGGGTATGTGTAGGGAGCAGTTTTTAGTTAGTTGCAAAATGTGTAATTTCTTTCTGTTACATGGCACTTAACTGGCAAAGGAAGTTCTGAAGTTTTCTCCACAGTCCTGGTCCCCGAATTTGGGGGACCACTGTTGGTCACAGGGAATGGTCATGGAAGGCAGTCACTGCATAAAATGCCTCAAGACTAGACATCAAGGCCCAGCCAACTTTCAGAAGGGAAAGCCCTGGCCCATTTGTGTTCTCCACAGGGCGGACATTCTTGCTAAGCCCCCAACCCTATAGCTATCTCAGCCGTCTGTGTGCTGCTAGAACCTGACCAGGATGTGAGTCCCTGCAACCTAGGTCCCCTAGCGCCCCCTACAGCTGCGGCGGAGTGGGGGGCGGGGATCGGGTTGAGGAGAGGGAGACTAGGCTGTGGAGCCACTAGGGAGCCACTGCACCACACCCAAGACCCCACCCAGATCACAGGAGCACCCAGCCCCCAGCCCCCAGGCCACAGAAATAGGGCGTGGGCCAGGGCCTGAGGCATCCCTGGCCATCACGATTGCTCCGCCTGTGGCCACCAATTCCCCTCCCCTGGCGTCCCTCTCTCCGCCCCTGTCACCCGCCAGTACCGGACACGCTGCTGCACTTCATCTCTTGGGGCGCTCTTCGCCTTGGCCAACCGTCGCATCCTGTGCAACTCTGGTCAGTGGCCGTTTGGTGTTGAATGTTCCCCACCAAGAGTGCATGGCTGCGGAACCGAGGTGTAGACCCGGGCCCCGAGGGGTCGCCCTCTGGGAAGCGGTGATGCTGTTGTTGTACCTGGGGGTGCCTGCGGGTTACCCCTACAACCTGGACCCAGAGAGCGCGCTGCTGTACCAGGGCCCCTCCGGCACTCTGTTTGGCTACTCGGTGGTGCTGCACAGCCACGGGGAAAAGCGCTGGTGAGTGCGCCCTCCCCAAGAGGCATGTGGCAGCGCCTCCGCCTCTGGGATTCCTTGTTGAGTCAAACTTTCCGCTCTCCTGGGAGGTTAGGGGAAAGCCTGGTTTCAGATAGTTGGCTCACTGGAGGGCCTTGGAACTAATTTATCTTAGGATGGCATCTTCCAGGGAGTTCCTGGTACCTGGTCCTGGAGTCCTGGGTCTGGGGTGATGGTGATGGGCAGAGGACGTGGGCACCACTTCCCTAGCTGTCCTCTACACAGCTGTGGCAACTCGGGGTGGGATGGGTGGGCAGACGGGCTCACGTCTGAGTGAACTTACTTGGTTCTCGCTTTAGGCTCGTCGCGGGGGCGCCCACTGCCAGCTGGCTCTCTAATGCCTCAGTGGTCAATCCTGGGGCGATTTATAGATGTAGGATCGGAGAGAATCCAGGCAAGACCTGCGAACAGCTCCAGCTGGGTGAGTTGAGTCCTGGACCAGGAGATAATGAACTTTCTCTCCCCATGAGTCCATTGTCGGGCAAGTCCTGGAAGACATCACGATGCCAGTTTCCAGTTTAAAGTGCATGCCTTTCATTTTAACCTCATGGCCGCTTGTTTCTGGTGATATTTGCCTTTCCCTTTCTTGCGGCTGTTGATCCCAGTGCAGTTACCCTGCACCATGTGTGAAACCTGTTTCAAAGCCAGAGGACCCAGCCCAGAGAAGGATTTTTTAAGAATTGTACTTGATCTCTGACTTGTCGACTTTGATCTAGGATAAGGGGCACACCAGGAATAAAAACTTCAATTGATCCTATATCCTGTCATTTAGCCCAAGGGTTTTTCTTTCTCTTCTTTTTAAAAAAGAAAGTGATACCATCTTCCCATAGAATGTATACCGTGAAGGAACAGGAGGGGGAAAAACGGCAAGTAGACTATTAAAATCATTAATATAGAAGGTCTAACATACAATTGTTAGATTTCCTCCTCCCAGATTCTCCTGTTAAACTGGCCTGTCTTCTTATGGCTTTATTTAGGTTTACAGCAACTTGAGAAATGTGTGCTGATGGGGGAGGGGACAAGTTTCATGTTTCAAAGTCAAAAGCCAATTTGCTGCGCACAGACACATGGGAAAAGAAAGGGGAACTAATATTAATTTAGATCTATCTTGCTCCCAGTGTTGTTAAGTACTGTTGTGTATATTGCTCAATGTTTTCTCTTTAAAGCAACCCTAGGTTATGACTGTATTGTTTCTGCTTACCACAGTAGGACTCCAACACAGAGAGCTATGGGTTCCTCCTTCAAAATTACTTTCCGAGGAGAGACTTAGCCTTACAGTTTACTTATACATCTTCAAGTGAAGATAAGACTAAATGAAGGGTTTTGTGTGCTGTATAGAGATCTATCATCATCTATGATGATGAATTTTAGGTAATAATTTGGGCTTTTTGTACTTATCTGTAAGGGACTATTTGATATTACCTTATTTTATCATTAACTTCTTATAATCATCCTTGTGTTGTTTGCTTTCTTGTTTTGTTCTTTTTTTCTTTTTTTTGCACTTTTATCTCAACACCCATAAAAATGCAGGAGTTGTCTGTGCATTGGACTTGGCTGCAGCTGACGCAAAAGTACAAAGGGGATTGGGAATAGGAAGACACAAGGGAAGTGGGAGAATGAAGGGGAGAGGGAGAGAAACAACAAAACAAATTTTATTCAGGAAGCAAAAGCTATTACAAAACGTAATTCTTTGTAAAGGAGAGATGGGCCTCAGAGCGTCATTAGGCATCCCCTGTTCCAAATGGCAGACAGGGGTGCATGCAAGATTCACAGAGCTGTGTATTTGGATTGATTTTTGCAAAGTATTTTCATTGTCTGAGCGATCTGTGCAATGAATGAACCCTTAATCTGACAGAGGCTTCACAGGGTCTCCGGTTCTGGCATTCTTTCTAGATCCATGACATTACAGCTACTGGTAGTTACATCCTGCCTGGAGGGCACTGAATCTATTTTTGGATGCTTGTATTTAACTGGAAAGATCATGTCATCCTGATATATTATATAAGCTTTTAGATGATGGCAGCTGTCAATTAAAGGGAAATGTAAATTCACTGCACTGCAGAGCACACAACTCACCAGAGACATTCAGGCATAGTAGATACATCGGGAACATTACGAGTTTGGGAAGAGATGAACAAAGGAAAGTATAAGTTATCAGCTTGATTGGTGGGTAAAAGAGTCAGCAATGGTTAGCCAAAGTGATAGTTCTTACCTTCAAGAATTGAGGCAACAACAAAAATACTGAGTTGAAAGAGACAAAACTGACTGTAAGGTCCTAGTCAATTGATTGGTTACAATATCAACTGTGTAAACACAATACTTTTGTAAAGGAATTGGATAAAGTTACTCCACAGGAAACACTCTGAACAATACATTCTCAGTTTCTACAGAGAAAACTATTTATTTTATTAAGAACAAATTCAAGAGTAACTTAAAGCTGGAAGGTAAAATAATGATGCCAATGTCCAGAAAGGAAGTTAAAAAAAATCACCAATTGATTAGCAAAAGCATATTAAGGCTCTAAAATTTGTAGACTATCCACCATTATTTAGGAACACATTTTGTGTGTTTATGTATGCATGTGTCAAAAGAGAGGAAGGAGAAAGCTACCTACCTACACACAAAACCTTTTGTATGACTGAGCTATTTATAATTCTTAAAATATTTTATTTATATTTAACTATATTATATAGTTATATGATAAATAGCTATATTTATAATTATATAAATAATTGTAATCATCTTATGTATAATGTGAGTGATTATATTACAAAATTTAAAAATACTTAGCTTAGCCAAGCATGGTGACACATGCCTTTAATCCTAACACTCAGGAGGCAGAGGCATGTATATCTCTCTGAGTTCAGGTCCAAGCCAGCCTGGTCTACATAGGAGTTCCAGGACAGCCAGAGCTCCATAGTGAGACCCTGCCTCAAACCCTGACTCCGCAAAAATACTTAGCTCAATAACTGTTACATATCAGATATTGAAAATATTTAAAATATGTGTGACATCTGCAATAAAATGTTAGCAAAATAAGTAATTAGGTTCAATTAATGAACTAAAAATAAAATGTTAATTGTATAAACAAAAGATATAACAAATTGAAATGAAGCAAAATGAAAAAAAGTCATTGACCCATCAAAAAAGCTTTAAGATAGAGCTTTTGTAGCTATCTCAGTAAGTAACCTCTTGTTTCTGGAATAACTTTGCTTTTTGTCAGAATTCTAATAGTGTCCAGTCTTGTAAAATGGTGTCTATCAGCTGTTTGTTTAATCCATCATGAGTTGTTTCAAAGTCTCTGTAGTGTGTGAGGCAAGTGGCTGGCTCAGATAGACTCCTGTCCTTCTCTCCCATCCGAGTCTGTAATGGGTATGCTGATGTTACTGCATACCATGCTGTATTCACTAGAGCCATAATCAGAGTCAAGCAGGCATACTCATTTATCTAACATGCTCAGAGGAGATGTTGGCAGTGCCCCTTTGTAGACCAAATTGGCTGCCGAGGTAACACTGACGGAGTTGCTTGTATAGCACCCTGGGTGTTTTCTTCCTGTGTTCTCAGCCTCCTTCTGGCACCCTGCCTGTCTCAGAGGTATCAGTTGTTTTTCACTCCCTCGATACTTCCTTCCATGAACAAAAAGTGCTCTCCCTTCAGGAGGACATAGGTCTACATCTACTTGTGGAGACAAGTACATCTACATCTACGGGTGTCAAGGTGATTTCCACATGTCCATTCTCTTCTCTGTCAGCCACTCTACATCCATACTGGGGGTTCTTTGATGAATTTGGTCCCTGGTAGTTCCTGAGTCAGGGTGATAAAAGTAATGACTCCATTAATACATTTCAGCATGATCCATGCTTAAAACACACGTTGCCAACAGGGAAAAACACAGTAATAATGAGTAAATGATTATTAGATTTACTGGGGTATTTCACTGTGTGTGTGTGTGTGTGTGTGTGTGGAGAGAGAGAGAGAGAGAGAGAGAGAGAGAGAGAGAGAGAAAGAAGAGACTGTGGCTCTGAATGACTGACTTATCTGTTAATAGAATCAAAAGTTAAACAGTTATGCAGCCCAATAAAGTAGTCACTGACCACATGTGGCTTTTGAGGACAGAAAATTCCACAGTGAGAAATTTTATTAAGTAATTTACCTATTAGATGTCTAGAAATAGTACAAAAGTAAGTTATGATTACCTCATGAAAGAAATATCTTAAAGTAATATTGATAGCTTAATAACTCTTGAATTGATTTAACATTCTTTTTTTTTTAACCTTTGTAATACGGTAGCCCTTCAGTTAAAATATCATGTGGGGCCGGGCGTTGGTGGCACACGCCTTTAATCCCAGCACTCAGGAGGCTAAGGCAGGTGTATATATTGAACACACATTACATTCCTATCAGATAACACCAGTCCCCCGAAAACTTCCCTTGGGTGGGAGCACTCCTGTGTCTGTGCCTGAATGGGTAGGGCCTCACTTCCCCTGTAGATGCAGAGCTCTGACTGCTAGGCTGTTAAGCTTCCTGTCTGGGCCTCTCTTCCTCTTGTTGGAAAGACCAAAGACCCATAGCAACTTGGTCACCATTACTGGTTTTGAATGTATTTCTGGAAATAACATTGTCTTGGGAAATCTCCTGTTTTTATATTTCATACCCTACTTAGGAAGATGTCAAATTCAAGCATTGCATCATTTCTACCTGATTGACAGGAGTTAGTAATACTGAAGTACAAATATTTAACTGTTGGAACTTCATATATGTTCTGGACAATTTTTTTGTTGTTATTTGCAACAAGCCTCAAATTATAGCTTATGAAGCTGAGATTAATACAGGTTGGTTATTTTGAAAAATCATCCCTGAATACAGGCTATTCTGAACACAGAAAATCATGATAATGGGATGACATTAATAAGATGAGGTTAAAAGGTAGAAGTTGGGGAATCACCAAAACGCTTATTTGTTGAAGGTGTGTATCACTTTGGCAGTGGACCCAAGTTCAATTCCAGCATCCACATCAGGCAGCATATAGCCACTTGTGATGATGCCAGCTCCAGGGGCACCCAATGTATTTGGGCTCCAAGAGTACTTACACCCATGTGTACATACCAACAAACAGATACACACACACACACACACACACACACACACACACACACAATTAATGTTTCAAAAGCTGAGAAGTTTCCCAATCTCCCATACTTGATCTCTCAAACAGTGAGATGTCCTTCTAAATGGAAAGATGCTTTCTTAAATCCACTTAAAAAATTTTTAAAAATGTGCTTATAGGCTCACTGGCTAATATTTCTAATTGCTAAGATTCTTTTCCTGGGCAAGAGATCTCAGGCCTGGTATTACTAGTCCATTGTGCACATGGCTCGTGTATTCATTTGGTCATAAGCTGAGGGATATCCAAGGACCATA